TAACACATTCTAATACTAAAAACATTATCACTATAAAAAGTGGGAATTTAAGTTTAGTTATTAGGCATAAAATGAATTTTCGTATAAATATTATGATTAGATTGTTATTATGATTATATTAACCATTTTGGGCATTATGTCATAAAACTTCACTTTATTTACAACCTGAAGCCTTTCTTAGAAACTTCAACATTTGCCTTTATATTTCGATTTTCGTGATAAAACTAATATTTTGTGTCAGTCATGTTTCAAAAAGTAATTGTGAATCATTACATATCAYTACATTACTCATATTATATGGACAAATAAAAATGTAAATTAACCATTCGCTGTATGGAACTGCACAAACTGAGCTAAATGTGTAAAAACAAACAAACAAACAAACAAATAAAAAAGAATGGCTTCACAAACATAGCATTTATTTGTTTGGTTATCAGTTTACAAAATAAAATAAAAAACTTACAGAACACAGTTTAACTCAAATCAAAATTCTGCGATCATGTTTATAACCTTGAATAGCTTTAGTCAATGCAGCATTCCAGTTGTTCCCGGAGKTCGTAGTTTTGCACTCCTGACTTGTAATTTTCAACTGGAACAACGCCCCCTGATGTCATAACTTCAAGTTGAGAGGTCGGCGCAATGCGACCATACCCTAACACTTTCATCTCGGAGCTGAAGTCAGTCCAGCTTCAGAATTCCGAGTTCCGCTTCAGCACGGCATAAGATTATGAGTTTTGTAGGAATATATTCAAATGTATTTATTCTATCCCAACATGAASATTGTCATACATTGGTTGAAATATAAATACCTGAAGCAGAAACAGCAATAAAATGTTCCAAACCATGTGAAGAACAGCCAAACTCTTTAATGGAATGTGACACTGTGGAAAACACTTTTATGTCAAAGGTCAGACCCCCTGATGAGATTGAGCGCAGCAAGCAGCAAGACACAAGGCCATTATACTACATCAGAAACACTTCCATCATACGAAGATTTTAAAGCAGACTTGATGTTCATGTTGTGTTTTTCAAGCTCTTTCAATCAAACAAAGAAGAAATACTGAAGAGTGTAGTTGCAGTTGCTGGCCAAGGAAAGTTGTGCAGCAGACAGCAGACACATAATGTTTACTTTTGAAAATATGAAGATGTGCAACTGAGCCATCATCTCTTAAYGGGCAAAAGCCTGTGGAACCCAGGCTCACCTATCTGCTGTCCAAAGAAGTTAGTATAGAAGTAATTTTATGGAAAATAAAAATGTGATCAAAAAGCCAAACCTTCGATGTGGAAACAGGACCAATTGACTCAACTATGCATGAAAGCAATAAAAACTGGGGCACAGAAAAGTAGCAGCAGGTGCTCTGGCCTGAGGAGCCAACAATTTAAATATTTAACAGTAGAAGAAAGCAGTTTGTTTGAAGAAGTTCTGGAGAGTTGAACAATGTTTGATAAAAACAGGGAAGCGAGGTAGAATTTCCTCAAAAATTTGGAGCTGCATTCCTGACAAACGACGATGGGAATTTGGTTTATCTAATAGTGCAGTGAGGACACCATCAGGAAGAAATCTGATTTGTCCCAAATTTAGCCAGCAGCAAGACAAAGAGGCCAACAACCCAGCCAGTGTCATTTGGCACTCTCTTTGGCAAAAAAAGGAAAAAAAAAGAAAGAACAAGATGTCCTGGTAGCGATGGTACAGCCAGCACTGAGTTCTGAACTCAACTTCACTAAGTGTGTCTGGGATTGCATGGTGAGACAAAAGGACTTAGGACAGTAAAAAAAGAGTAAAAAGCCTTTTTATATTAGTTTTTTTGCCTAAAATTTTCACACATTATTTCATTATTTTACCAGACCTTAGAGTTATTGTGCAATTTGAGACATTGTTTGTTTTTCTAAAAACCTGTTCATTATTTTTTTTTAATCCACAGCACACATACATGACTAAAGATGCGTTTGGCCTCACTGAGAAGTGATTATTTCATAAGCTTGTCTTGCCTTAACTTTCCAAATTTCCATATTCACTCCAGGAAGTCACGTCTATTTATTTGCTAAAATGATTTACAGTTAAAAATACTGGAGMTAATCCTCAAACCTTTGATATGTAAAGTAAAATCAGCTCAACGATTTAAACTCTTTATCTATTAGATTACATGCATGTTTTGAAACCTATGGACTCAGATTTTAAGAGGGATTTTTTGATGAGCAACATTTTGTCAGACCATTGCATAATTATGCTCAGAATTAAAAAAAAAAAGATCCAGCAAGTCAGAGGGGCTTTTTACAGCCTTCGGAGTGTGCTGCTTATTACGTAACTACCACTTCATTACTGATTAAAAAAGTGGGGCTGTAGATAACTGCTTTGACAAGTGGACTGAAAATAGGTGGCAGCTACAACATTTTTGCCAGCCTGGTGGCTTTATTTATGGCAATTGACCCCAGAGGTACTTGGCATCCACATTATTGGAGAAACTCCAACAGGCAGTAATATTTCTGGGGTTCTCTTGCAGGCCGTCAATGGTAAGGATCAGCAGAGGAGTGGTATATTAGGTGTTTCAATAGCCCCTGGCCTGAAGTTCAGTGGTCTATTGCAGCAAACCCATTCCCACTGCTATTTAGATCAACTGAGAGCTTTGTGATAACTTTTTTTTCCAGCTCAGCACTTCTGTTGWTGTTAGCTCTTTTCTGAAGACATTGCTTGGGACAAGCAACATAGTGCTGACTTGAGACCATGGGGCAGCCTTCTTTTGAGCCTTTTTTCGGTCTCCCTGGTGTGTGTCACAGCAGGCAAAATCCTGACCCAGCTTTTAAAGCATTCTCCAGCTCAAGGGTTGAAAAAGCATGCTCACCC